ACTGAAGTATTGGGGACTAAAAAGCAATGGCAACAGTAGGCCCTACTCTGGGGCGATAACGAGATAATATTATGCGAGTTTAAGCAATTTTAGGTGATTTAAGCAAAATCTGCAATTTAAACAATGCGAGTTTGAGCGATATAGGGCAATGTAAGAAAACAATTAAAATTTTAGGGAATGCTGTTTTAGGTGTTTAGTGGTAATTTCAGGAATATACAACTATATCCCTGATGACTCCAATGAAATTACCATTAACCTATGCCAAGCATCCAAACATGAGTGTTCCCACAAACACACACACGTGCAGTGTATATAAATATACAATTTAACAAAAAAAGTTGAAGTCTGCCTGAGGAGGTTCTGGAGACAAACAATACAGTGTATGCGCATGACGATCAAGTGTTTAAAGGGTAAATAAGCTCAATAATCATGACTTTTTCCATCCATTGTCTATTTCGAAGCCATTGGGGTATTATTAAATTCATGACACAACTATAATACATGACCACATGTTCACATCATATGCAATTGCAAATAATTTTCAAAGGAGTAGGGTACAGAATTGCAATGTAAAACATATAAGTAAATTATACATGTCATGAACTTACCAGTTTGTGTCAGGCACGTATTTTCTGGGGGGGTGCGGGGGGGTGCGCACCCCCCCGGAAATTATTTGCACCCCCCCAAAGGCATTTGGCACCCCCGCAAATTACATATATTTTGATTTGATAGTTTCATATTTGATTATTCTTACTACTAAATTTGTAAAATTACCAATATTATGGTCTCAGATCTCGCCATGCAGGCCTAGAAAACAAATTTTGTTAAACTTTTTCCTTGGCCTTTCCCGGCGTTGCCACCACGCCCCGGCCAAAGCAAGCAGCAGCACCCCCCAGATATTTATCCACCCCCCCGAACGAAAATATGAAAATCCGTCTCTGGTTTGTGTTGAGTTAAATTTAAAAATTTTTATGACATCAAATATTATTTATTTATTTGCAAATCAAAACATTTTAAAATTCTCGTGTTTTGTTTTGCGCCCGCGATATATTAATGGTATTAACCGCTGTGAATATGATATACATTTTTAATACATTACATTTGCGCTCAAAAGTTCAGGAAGTGAGTTTCTAGAAAGGATGAAAACTCCGTTTTATATATGGTATGTAAAAGGTAATCGTTGTTTACTGTTTATTTTGTATTCAGGTATGGGGAATTTAAGCGATGAGAGTTGCAAAACTTGCCAATGTAGTCTGACTAGTTTCTTTGACGTCATCATGCAACTATTTAATATTGTGCTACATTCATTATTCAATTTATTCGCAGCAATTAGCCTTCTATAGGCCATACAAATTATTATAGCTTATAGCCCACCTTGACTTTAACATTGATCCTATCTATAATGAATTAACATAAGAATTGATTATGTTGCTAGTCGAGTATGGGACTTATGGGTCTTCTAGATCCTAGAGTAGCACAATTAATATAAAGTCTGCGTAAGGCGGTAATATTAAAGACTTCTTATTTATGCATGACCTTTGACTATTAAGTGGCCAAAAATTGTGCCTACAGTAATCAACTTATTCCACTATCCAGGTTGCATCACTTTGGATTGCAAAACACCCGGGTTTATTATACATGGATTTGCTAGCAAAATAGCAGCAATTGATGAACTTGGTGTTATACTAAGATTTACTAAATGTGTAAAGAAACAATGAAAAGTATATATCAATCAGAGTCATTATCTTGATCAATTTCCGATGGGATCTCCAAAGAAAGTAGCTACATGTGCAGACAACATGAAACTTCAGACTGCAGAAAATTTCACAATCCGTTATCAAACTTATGTCACAGAAGTGGTAAAGGACATATGTGACAACTGAATGGTACCTTTTGTAAATTTTTTGGCCAGGGGTGGGTATTTATTTTTTAATTGATATTTGAGGTTGGGTAATCAATTTTGTTTACTTTTTAATGGTTGGGTCAGCAAAATTTTTGCTACGAAAAACATTTCTCTTCGGTGCCACCCCCCACCATAAATAATGACCGGTCCCTTACTCGTAAAGGTTCTTTGCCACGTTCAAAATGGCGGACAGCGAAAGCTAAACGCTTAATACCGTGATCGCTGTCATTATATTTCGTAATTATTGGACCACTCTACATTTCCATTTATACGCTCGAGTATATGCTAAGCTTTTTTAGCCTATTACTACTAAATATGTGTTCTTGTTACAATGACGTTATGTTGTAAAATATAATTGCAAAACCAAAAGTTATTCTCTTTTACTGTTTTTGAAAGAATAATGAACTTGTTTGAATTTTAAACAAAATGACTGCATGCCCAGCCCACTGATCTGAAATAAGACTGGATAACGCATCTATAGTATACGAAAGTGAAGCCGGAAGTCACCGGCCGCCACCCGATTCTGGGGCCCCACTTTTGTATAGATTTGTATTACAGACGGTAGTTTTTCGCGTTTTTTGCCTTGGCTACGTTTCCGATCGGGCCAATTTTACAATCACAACGATAGAAGCATACAAGAAGATTTTTGAGCAAAAAATTTGGAGTATTATGGCTTTATAACGCCGCGAAACGGGATTTACAACTCTGAAGGAGTAGAGAGCCTCAGACTTTGTTTATCAACACGAGCTCGTTTTGCTACTTTCATACAAAATCAACTCAAAATATACAAGAATTATTGTTACTGGACGAATATTCTCACGCAATTTGAAGAAATGAAGCAGCTGCATTGTGAACGAAAGCGTACGGAGGTTAGTTTTAAAATACTTCGAGGCTACTTCCATAATTATATGAATTAAAATAACATATTGAGGCGTTGTTTATAATTTGGATCAAAAATATTTCATTGTCACTTGTCTTCCTACTTTAAAACATATAAAACTTCTCGACCAGTCGCCTAGAAATGCTTTTGACAAAATTGACATTTAAAACTGTTCCTTATTAAATTCGTATAATTATAAAAGTAGCCTCAAGGTATTTTAAAACTAACCTCAGTACGCTTTCGTTCACAATGTAGCTGCTTCGTTTCTTCAAGTTTCCTGAGAATATTCGTACAGTAAACAGTAATTCTTGTATATTTTAAATTGATTTTGTATGAAAATAGCAAACGAGCTCGTGTTGATAAACAAAGTCTAACCTCTGTACGCTTTCGTTCACAATGTAGCTGCTTAATTTCTTCAAATTTCGTAAGAATATTCGTCCAGTAACAATAATTCTTGTATATTTTGAGTTGATTTTGTATGAAAGTAGCAAAACGAGCTCGTGTTGATAAACAAAGTCTGAGGCTCTCTACTCCTTCAGAGTTGTAAATCCCGTTTCGTGGCGTTATAAAGCCATAATACTCCAAATTTTTTGCTCAAAAAGCTTCTTGTATGCTTCTATCGTTGTGATTGTAAAATTGGCCCGATCGGAAGCGTAGCCAAGGCAAAAAACGCGAAAAACTACCGTCTGTAATACAAATCTATACAAAAGTGGGGCCCCAGAATCGGGTGGCGGCCAGTGACTTCCGGCTTCACTTTCGTATACTATAGATGCGTTATCCAGTCTTATTTCAGATCAGTGGCCCAGCCTTCGTTAGTTTCTGAAGGCTGTGGTCCTAGTCCCAGTCCTCTGCTCGACCCTGACGTTCTGGCATAACGTTGACGTCGTACAACTTAAGATTATTTGTTCAAAACGTTACCTAGCTCTATAACTCTATAATTTAAAAAAATCCAGAAAAAATCCGAACAAATCCGGAAAATCCAAACAAATCCGGAAAATCCAACAGATTTTCAAAAATCCAGAAAAAATCCGAACAAATCCGGAAAATCCAGCAAATTTTCTCTTCAAAAATCCGCTAAAATATCCGGGAAAAATCCGCTAAATCCGCTAAAAAATCCGCGGATTTTTAAAAATCTGAAAATCCCGTACGCTTTTTTGGAGTGAAATGCCCCTCGATAATTTCAGTGTATTTTTAATATTGATTACCTTTTTTATTATATTGAATTTTTTAAATAAAAAAGAAAGCAAAGTTATTTGCATGCGAGAATTTGAAATCATTTTATTGCAAACTCAAAGTTTATCGATAAAGCCATTTAATTAAAGGCAGTTTTATAGTTTTATAAAGAACACTTTCAACGTTTCGCGAAGCGTTTGTTGTCGAATGACTTGAATTTTACCTTAAATTGAAGCTTATATTACGTATAATAACATACCTAACATAAATGTTGGGAAATTGATAATTTTGTAATTAAAAGTGATATTTTTAGGCGATTTTTCATTTGTAAGAATATTCCTAAAAAATTATCGTGTTACCATGACAACTACTTTAGATACTTCATGTTCGGAAAATGCAATGGTTTTGTCAGCAAGGCGAGGGTTTCTGCATGCATGTATTTTCTAGTCTAGTATGCATTTTTCGCTCTATTCAATACTTGCAAGAGGTCTATTGCGACTGTCCTGACTAAACGTGTCTGCTATAAGAAGACTACGAACTGTTGTTGAGCGATCGGGCTTGAACAACCCAATCGGTTTCAATTGAGAAATCATCCTTGTGTGACGTACCCTGTTAAATATTTATACTTGCTCTGATGTTCTCATCGCTATAGTAACCACTTAAAAAATTCCTTAAGTGCATTCATGGCTAAAGGCATTCAACTGTAAAGTGTTGGTGCATGCAGGTTCTCAGGTTATGGCAATATTCGACATTAAATCAGTCGCTCTTAAGTGGTATTTCTTCACGGCGTCTAGTGCCTCGGTTTATGAAGAATTTTCTCATGTATTCATGAAACAGTTTGGATTAAATTCACAGCAAATTGGGATTACAAATCTTTGTGGCGTTCAGCATATATTTATACCGCTATCAATATGTGGGCGACAGATATCGTTTGAGGAATCTAGTTATTTGGATCGTGTCGCTACTTTTGGCTATAAGTTCTATACTTCTACTTCTGCCTATTGTTGTTTCGCTACCTACGTGCTTTGGGACGAAGTCTATATCAAACAATTCAAGTAAGATTATATAAATGTGCAACAATGTCTGTTGAGAGAAAGGATATGGTGCATGCGCCCGTGGAATTCAAAATGTGCATTATAAGCCTGATTTCCATTTAAGAAATAGAAAACATTTTCCGTGTTTCTATAGAGTTATAGAAACACGCGTGAAAGTACGTTTGGGAGAAACGAGAAATTGCGTGGGAACACGACATGAAGTGCGAGTGTTTCCACGCAATTTCGAGTTTCTTCCAAACTTTCACAAGTCAAATAATTCATGTAAGACTATATAAGTGTGCGACAATGTCTGTTGATTGAAATGCCCCGGAATGTGCATTTGAGCGTACTCGACTAAATGAGCACGTACATTGCCAGCTTGTTTACGCGTGATATTTTTCGGCGGCAGTGTCATAGTGGATACCGTCCCGCAGGCCGTAGAAAGAGGGCCTCCCCGGACGCTATTTGCTTTCGGATTGTTTCTTCCCATGACTTATATAGATCAGACGTTATCCTCGCGACTCGCGCGGGGAGTCGCCATCTCAAATTCGTGCATAATCAATGAGCGGTAAACCAAGCAAGCTGCTCCATTTTGAAGCTTTCCAAGCAAGCGCGACAAAAAGACGTGGATGTGGTAAGAAACTGGGGCATAGGTGTGACGTCACCGCTAAAGGTGCTTCCGAACGCCTAGCAGATTTCAGTATTTTTAATATGGCGGAAAATTTATATATACAAATAACCTTGTAAATACGACAATGTTCGTTGATCATGTTCGATGTCTTTACATAACCAAATTCAAAGTGTATTAAAAATGTGCTCAATTAAAAAAATATATAGACAAATAGGAGACGCGCCATAATTATCAAGCTTCTAGAGAGCATTTAATATGGCTTTATATTTTAGTAAACACGAGTCATATTTTCTATTTACAAATGCGGTATGCTTGGTAACCACGCCAGGGACCACTTTTTTGAAACCAGGGACCATTTTACCGAAATCTGCTAGGCTCTCTCGCCGAAGCGTTCCGCACAGCACACCCAGGCATAAAACTTTTAAGACTTATTTAAATATATCAAAGAAGCGAATAGAGAGAGAGCCTGTGATTAGGCTGGGATTTACATTCCCTTTCAGAACAATGAAAGTCGAGGCATGGTATTAGTTCAGTAATCGGCTTCGCCTCGGACTGAACTAATTGCGCAGACATGGATATCCGGTAAAGTCCTCTTAGTCGAATTTAATATATTATAATCTTCATGGCCCGGTAAAAATCTTGAAAGAAGCCGCGGGAAGTTGTTCTTCAGTTTTTATCCACAAAAAAACGCCGTTTTTTTCTCAATTCAATTCAATAACATGTTGCTAACCAGTTTTAACTGATCGTTTAATGTGTTTTCACGTATTTCACGTTCAGTATTGCCTTTTGTAATCGGCTCAAAGTTTGGAACAACAGTGTCGCGGACTAAAATGGTTTTTCATTTATTGCTGTCTTCAAGGCACTATCGAACTGCATGTCACCGAAACTTATGACGTCTGGAACAAACTTATATACCAACCTTCTATAAATTTTATATACTGTATTTTCTTGTCGCCCTTACTGGACTTTCACCAGTTTCTCCTACAGTCTGCTTCACCATAATATATGTACAATTATAGAATATTTTACCGCTTCTCATGGAATTAATGAATTCCACTTGGAATTTAAGGTGCCACAAGAGGAAATATTTAACCCGCCAGACTTTGACCATAGCCTATCGAAGGGAAGATGGCTGTGAAACTCATTAGAATAACAATATTTAACAATTATTGAATGAGGTTGAGCACGATATGAAGAATTATCAAGCCAGAAGTTCGCAGTTATCAACCGAAGCCGAAGGCTGAGGTTGATAACGGGAAACTGAGGGCTTGATAATTCTTCATATTGTGCGAAGACCGAATTCAATAATTGTTTTATTATTTATTTAAAAAATTCAAAACAAACGGTCATCCATTTGTTCGCCCTTTTGTAGTTTATTTGTATTAAGAAAAAGACAATTCCTTAGTCATTCGGCAGCCGTCGTCGTCGTCGTCATATCAATGGCGTCAGCGTGTCAATATGATTATCGTCGTCATAATAATATGGCGCAAAGGCGTCCAAATTTTTTTCATATTGACTCGTTGACGTCATTTTGCTAATATGAATGTGAAAAATCCATATTTGGTTGGCCATTGAGTTGATATGACAATTTCACAGTCGGCTGTTAGCCAATCAGAAACTAGGAATTTTTTAAATAAATAATAAAACTCATTATCTATGTTAGTCAACGTTTATTCATAAATCTGGTCGTTTCACCGTCACGTGTGTATTGTATTTTTAACAAATCCACCAATAGCAATCTTCAGTTTCCCTATTGTTCGAGTCACAGATAGGTGACTTCCCTAAAACATTGCTATTGGTAAGTTGGGCAAGAATACAATACACACGTGACGGTGAAGAACCAGATTTATCAATAAACGTTGACCAACATAGATAATGAGTTATATTGTTATTCTAATGAGTTTCACAGCCATCTTTCCTTTGATAGGCTATGCTTTGACAAAATACAAAAACATGAATATAATTATGAATATTTTGGAATTGACTTGTTTTCAGTAACTTTGCTTCTGAGGGCTTGGGTTTGACTTTTTTAGTTGTTATTAATGCAAAAAATTAATTTGAAACATTTTATAGTAAACTCCACCAACCTCGTTCAACGACAAAATGTTCCGTGGATGAGCAGCTTGATCCTTGTAATAATTGTATCAAGATCATCAATAACGTTCCTGGCAGGCGTGGCCTACCCACTGGCTAGTCTGGCGACGATAACCTATCTCGGTAATGAGAGGGTGAGATATGGAGCTTATTACATGTGGACAAATGTTGGAACATCCACTTTAATTGTCGCTTCTGCTATGATTGCTTGGAGAGTAAGAATAAAAATATGCGGCGTTGATGGATACGGCTACTTTGCAAGTTTTCTCATAGCATCATTTTTCTTCTTCTCGTCGTTGCTGTCCCTCCCATTTTTCAAATTCAAATACGAAACTGATCGCACCCTTAACTGGATGGAAATTAAAAGTGTTGTGCTTAACGGTCACTATATTTACATGTATATATTGACATTTCATCTTGGAGCATGTGTTGCGTTTCAGATTTTCTGGGAATTTTGGTATTTGGACGGACTTCAGGCCAGTCCTTTAGTTATGGGCGCGGCCGCACTGATTCGAAGACCACTTTTGGCGGCGTTTATATTCACCTCGTGTTACGTGATAGAGAGAATTGGTGAATTAAACACTGTATGTATATCGTTTCTTCTATTTACAGTGGCGTTCTTTGCTTTATCCTTCTCGCGAGTATATTGGTATGTTCTCGCCGTAGATACGCTTCATAGTGCAGGTTATGGACTGGCCAAAAGTGCATTGACGGTGCATTTCTCTAAAGCAGGATCAAAAGCAAGTTCAGGTGTAATACTTGGTAAGTTTTGCAGGATTTTTTGACTTAAGGTGGCTCGATCTATTAATCCACACAAAATTCCTTATATACAAGAATTGCGAATACAAAACGTTATGCTATATGAACAATTCCACGCGACCATTCGTGTCCGCGGGAATGTTAATTTAAAGACAGGACCAACTCACTTAAATTAAATTAAATACTCACTTAATTTAAAGACAGGACCTACTCAGGACTTGCTCACGCCATTTCGTGCCCTTATATGACGTTATTATTAAAAAACAGTACGCTATATCTCATTTTAGCCGCTGACTTGTGTTGAAATTTGCACACTGTATTATACGCGAAAGTTTTTCATTATACCAAAATTTAAAAAATCTGTAATGCCAAAACAATTTTATCGAAGAAAAGGACATCTTTGCGTTTAAAAATGAATAGGACACTGTGCTCCTTTTCCAACTACACAGAGCAATAGGCTGTTTTAGAGTGAATTTCGTATGCGTGTTTTTCCATAGCAACGAACTGTGTGTTGCCAAAACAGACATAATTTGAAAGAAGAAATATTAAAATAGATGAACATCCTGAAATCTGCAGCGTAAAACCTAAAAATACTACGTTTTGAAAATGTCATTCAAGTTTTGGGAAACTATATCGAACCTCCCTAAAGAAAAATAAGCGAACCTTGCAGTATAGTTTCTATGAACAAGTTTGAAACTTTACTTTTAATAAATATCGCAGTTTAGTGCTGTTTATAATGGCCGCAGGAAAAGTATGACGTCATCAGTTCGGAAAAAAATCGTATTTGCGTTTAGGTTTGGGCAGTGCACAATTAAAGCTACGTTTACACGCTGCGATTTGTCGGGCCGATTTTGAAAAAAAATCGATGTCCCTTCTTCGACATTTAGCGATTTAAACGTTCAATTGAAGCTGTCCGCTCTCTCGTCTGTTCATATTATAGTTTTCTGCGTGCGAAAAGTTTTCAACAACTTTACAACGGAAGAAAAATCGTTGAATCGTGAGAAAATCTGTGGTTTTGTTACAGATTTTTCTCCCGATTTTGTGAATCGCAATGTGCTGACGCGAGTACTCACGACAGGTTGTTTACATACAGCGAGCAAAATCGGCCCGACAAATCGCAGCGTGTAAACGTACCTTAAGACCATCTGACGACAACTTTTTCTATTTGCAGGACTTGATTCCATGTTCTTTTTTCTTGGAATGGACTGTGGTGCAACGTTTTTTGGATTACTTTTTCACGCAATTGGGGTACGCAGCACACTTATCCTTTATGCCGGTATGACTGCCATTATGCTCGCCATATTTCTGTGTTATCTTAAATTTTCAAAACATATCAATGAGTACGAGAAGTTACCTGTAGACAGTGATGATGATGTTGATGATAGCGATGCTAATGATGATAACAAACACATTAATAACTTGAAGTAATTAATATTTTTAAAACATAAGAATAAACTAGCCTATAAACCAATTATTATTTATATGTTGTGGAAATACGAATACGAAATGTGGAAACACACACGACCAAAACAATATAATGTGGTTGAGCCTTCGGCCGTGTTCGCAAGTTTGAAGGAAACAAATTTTACAGTCGAATCCGTTGTTCCATTGCCGGCAACATTGCAATATTGTCACGCAATATTGCAATATTCATCGGTCGATTGCTCTAGCAAATTGCAACCAACGCGAACAAATTTCAATTTTTACATACAGTTGCAATTATTGGGCGTGTTGACAATTTGTCGAGAGGTTGTGCCGATATGTCAGATGCCAAGCATTTGATTGGCTTGTTTTGTACTAGCACCCGATCGGGCTTTATTTACAAACTTGCTTCCAAATCATATATGAACTTTTGAATTTTGCATTTGATGGTTTAATACTGTTATTGCACGTAAAAATTGCAATTTGTTCGCGTCGGTTACACTTTGCTAGAGCAACCAGCTGATCAATATTGCGTGACAATATTGTAATGTTGCCCGCAACGGAATACAGGATTTGACTGTAAAATATAAAGAATAAATATCAAAAGAAAGAAGAAAGGAAAGATTTTCCGCTGATGGGAAAAGATCTGGTCATTATTTCCATGAATTGAACATACAAGTGCTGATGTGTTTTTCATCGATCTTTTAAATAAATAATGAAATATTTATTGAATTTATTTTCCGCGAGATATGAAGAAATATGAAGCCCTCAGTTTGTGTTATTAACCTCAGCCTTCGGCTTCGGTTGATAACGTCCGGCTTGATACTTCGTCATATCATGCTCAACCTCATTCAGTAATTGTTATTAAGTATTTGATTGGCTGATGACCAAGAATGCATACTTTTGCTTTTAAAATGTGTCATCTCTCGCTCTGCCTAAGTATTTAAATCATACACTTGTACAGGGAATTCAACCACATATATAATCTGTGCCAAACAATGAAAAATTATAAAATTATCAAATTCATTTGAACTGGTAAAAAATGAAAAGAAACGCCAAATTGGTAGCGCGAAATAATGGCGCCCGTCACAAAAAAAAACCCAGTAGGAATAAGCCACAGAGAAACAAATGACTTCCATTTAGTTTGCATGCAACCATCATATCTTGATAGACTATGGCTAGTGGTGTATCGGTAAGTCTATATCAGTAACAATTCATGAAAGTCACAAAATAGAGAATAGTTGCGTGATGGAATAGATTTTAGAAATTCACCACTGGGTAGTTGCATAGCCAGAGTGAGGTAATCGGCTTTCGCACCTACATTTAATCTTTCTCCACATAAATTGGCTTAGACTTTTGCTTTGGCGTTTTACTAGAATGAAAACATGAACACAAAAGATTATTGTTTTGAGTGCAGTTTATTTGGGAAAAATGGTCAAACAGTTATTTGCTGGGAGTATGAAATATATCATCTTTCCATGAAATTCTATCTTACTTCCATTTTTGATATCCTGTAGACATTTTGAGAGAAATTATCTTCCGGTTAGTTTCCGCCTTCCATCGTTTCTTCCCAAAACACCTCACATGTGTTGTCACATGCCACATAAAACGTATAATTGCCTGTCTGCAAAGGCTAAAGAACACTATAAATCAAAATCATTAAAATAAAAGATCTCTTAGCTACAACATAAATTATAGTTGAACATGCACGCAGCAGCTCCTCGTCCTTCCTCAAACAGGGTAAATTCAAGCCCAAAAAATGTCTCAACATGAAGTACGGATGATAGAAAACGTTGTGGTTTTATGGTAACGCGAAATTATCTATTTTCGTAATAAAGAAAAATGGCAAAATTTTAAGGAGAATTTGAGCAGTCAATCCCCGTTTGAGCTCGTTAAACTCAAATCTTTTTATTTCATGTATTCTTGTGCCGTATTTAAATTAATATTTTCGTAATATTGTGTGTTATTTTATTAGTTTATATTATATCAATTTCAATTAAATTTATAGTTGTACACATAATTCTAACTTTCTTGTACTGTACTGCGTCCTCATGCATAATCGTCCTTCATTGCAATTAGTTGCGCAACTTGCTATAACGTCATATGAACATACGAACTCATGCGCTTGTAATTTGTAATTTATTGAGGTCAGTGTTTCCCTGTTACCTTGGAAATTTTCCCTTTATTTTCTTGTTCCTCACAAATATTTCACCATGATATACCACATTTTTTCCTAAATACGAAAAAAATTTTCCGGATATATCAAAAAAATTTCCGGATATATGATATTTTTCCCGGAAATGAAAAAATTTTCCCGAAATAACAAAGATTCGAATTTTCAAAAGTGCCCTTTGGGCAAAAAATGCAATCTTAATGACAATTTTTCACGCAAGAAAAGGGCACTTTGCTCCCGGAAAAAGGGCACTTGGCAAAACTTGGGGAGAGGGTGCCCCCCCTGTCCCCCCGGTTCCTACGCACCTGGATGTGTGTACTACAAAACTATATTGACTGAAGTTGTGGAAAAATGCAGCCAACTTTTGAAGGATTTTCTTACTACAGTGATTCAGTATCATGCATGGGATCAAATTAAGGAATTGAAAGATTTTATAAGTGAGCAATGTTTAAAAGCAAGATATATAAACAATGAAAGAAATGGCACTAACAGAGCCAATACCTCTCCAGAAAGTGTAAAATCGAGTCTGATATCTTAATAATAATCCATGTTTTATCACTATTAATTACCACTTCGATTTTGGCATACCCATTATTTCCAGAAAAATGAACCGACTTGTCATTATCATCGTAATTAACCTTCCTGCACTTTGGGGATAGGATATGCAATTCTGTAATTTGATTGACAATTAAGATATCAGACTCGATTTTACACTTTTCTGGAGAGGTTTTGGCTCTGTTAGTGCCAATTTCTTTCATTGTTTATATATATCTTGCTTTCAAACATTGCTCACTTATAAAATCCTTTAATTCCTTAATCTCATTCCATGATACTGAATCACAGACCTGTCACTAAATTATGGATTGCCCGATAGATATAATTCCTCAAATATAATTCCTCAAATATAATTCCTCAAACCTTAATTTGATAGACATTTTCAATTGCATGGATTATTGGATCATATTTCTCTACTGCATGATTTTATAGCCTTAATTGTAACTATTTTCAGGAAAGGAAGTGCAAACAAGTGCATACAATAGCAATTATTCTTCAACTAATGGGCAAACACTTCTGAATAGCAAGGAAGCTGAATAACACACATGTTCAGATGGTTTGTTTAATTATAATTACGGGAACCACTCAGTATTTTAGGAAAATACAAAATAACAGTAACTCCAAATAACATTTTGATTTTTAATCGACGTTTCGACTACTTTTAGTCATCCTCAGGATTGATATTAGTGTAAAATTACAGATGCAGCTATTATAAAGCCAGAAAGGCGGAGCTTAAATGCCAGTTAATGAAATATGAGAAGTTCTTTGGAAGCTTTCGCACCGTGGTTGAGATCAGGTTTTCGTCTGCGTATAGCAAGAGACTCCTTGAATAACAACAGAGACCAGTGGTCTGACCTATCAATTATTTTACAATTTCTAAATATTAGTTGAGTTAAATTAGTGTTTATAGTGCTAGTTGAGTCAGGTGAAAGTTCCATAAGGGATTTGATGTGTTAAAAATGTTCGCAGCAGTTGATGTGGGCGTTGATTTCCGAGTTTTCTCGTGTGCTATGCTCTTTCAGACGGGTGTATAGACAGCGGTCTGTTTTACCAACGTAGCTGCTTCGACAACCCGGACATGAAAATTCGTAAACTACGGAGCTTTTGTATTCATCCGGTGTTTTGTCTTTACAGGACAGGAAACAATTGGAGTTCGTAGTATGCCAGTTTAAAATAAATTTACACGGACTCTTTAGTAAACGGCGAGTTTTGTTTATGAACTTTTTGGTCAAAATGTTGCCATATTTGCCAAT